CAGCAGCACAAAGGAGTGCTTAAAAGAGGAGAAATTGGACTTACTACGTTTAAGAACCTCTATTATCAAAAGACTCCATAAGAGGTTACTACTCAGCAGTAAAAAGAGATAAGCTGTGAACATAGAACACAACATAGGTGAATCTCCAAATAATAATGCTAAGTGAAAGAAGCCAAAGAGTACATACTGTGTGATTTAATTTGTATAAAACTCTAGAAAATACAGATAGGGATCTATAGTGATAGAAAACAGAGCAGTGTTTGCCTAGGGACAGGGCATTGGGTAGGGGCAGGAAAGAGGGATTACAAAGGAATATAAGGAAATTTAGGGATAGATATGTTCACTGTTTTGTGGTGATGGTTTTACAGTTACGAATATATGTCAAAACTTACCATGTCTTACACTTCCCGATATTGTTTATTGTCAGTTATACCTCAGTAGGGCTGCTTTAATATGGAAATAAAGAAACACCACAAATTGTGAACAGGTGAAGTCCATTTAATCAGAGCTTATCATGGCAGGGAGTTAGCTACCATCACTTGCACTGGCAGAGATTCACAGGCAGGTAAGCCAGTGGGAAGCTTTATAGTGGAGAAAAGGCAAAGTTTCAGGTACCTCCTGATTTGGAGTTATTGGCATAGGAACGCTGTAGGCAGCCTAACCACAGGTTGGGGCATCCCATGTGGTTGGTTAGGGATACATATTTGGCTTTCCTAAGTTAGAAGCAGGGACAGAAATTGGGGAAGCTGTCAGTTATTAATCAAGTCTTGACTGTTTGGGGCTAGTTTTTACAGGGGTTGCTGTTCAACTTCCTGGACTACTTGTGAGAGATAGTCTGCCTTCCTTGACTGGTTACTGTAGGTAGTAGGTTGGCTTCTTGAACTAGATAGTAGAGATATTAGTTTGGTGTCCTTCCTGGGCTGGTTTCAGCAGGTTGTCGGTCAGAGCTCTATTTTTACATATGTAGTCTGGCCTTTGTTAGTATATTCAGACTCTCATGAAAAGAAACAGATGTCATAAGAAAGGCAAACCACAAACTGGGAGAAGATATTTATAGTACAAATCCAACAAAGTACTTATATCTACTATATATATTTTAGAAACTTCAACAATTCAATAAGAAAAAGATAACCTAATTTTTTAATGGGCAACAGGCTTGACCTAATACTTCATTAAAGATGATTTCCAAGTGGCTAGTAAACATGAAAAGGTGCTAGTCGGGAAAATTCAGGGGTCATTTAATCACTAATGTAATCATTAATCTTTTAATACAGCATAAATGAGAATGGCCACACCTCTTACCAGAATGGCCAAAATTAAAGAATTAGTAGTACCAAGTAGTGTAGTGGTATAGATGTGGAGCAACTGAACTCTCATACTCTGCCGGTGGTAGTGTACATTGGTGCAGATTCTAGAAAACTGTCCATGTCTGTTTAAGTATGTGGAGGTGCCTGGATGGCCCAGTCGGTTGAACAACTTCAGCGTAGGTCATGATCTCACGGTTCATGGGTTCGAGCCTCACATTGGACTTGCTGCAGGGCCTGCTTTAGATCCTCTGTGCCCTGCTATCTCTGCCCCTCCCCACTGTTCTCTCTCTCTCTCTCAAAGATAAACATTTTCAGAAAACACTAAATATGTATATTCTGTGACCCAACATTAGCACTCCTGGGTTTCTATCTGATGGCAATGAGTGTTTATATCCACCAAAAGACTTGTGTAAAAATCTTGCTAAAAACAGGAAACATCCCAAATGTTTATCAGCCTGGAATTTATAGTTTGTGCTATATTCATGAAGTGGAGTACAACATAGCAATGAAAAAAGAATAAAGTGATACATGCAGTCATTATAAATGACTCTCATGGCCATGATTTGAATAAAGGAAGCTACTCAAAAAAGGGCTAATATTATTTGATTCTACTTATATAAATGGAACAATTGTCAAAATAGGTAAGACTGATCTATGATGATAGAGGTAAGAATAATGGTTCCTTTTTGGTGGGTTTATTGACTGAGGGGGCAGAAGGGAGCGCCCTGGATTATTGGAAGTGTTCTATAACTTGATCTGACTTGTGGTTATATGAGTATATACATACAAAATTATGTGTCAAAATAGAAATGAAAACAAAATAAAATACATTTTGAGCTGTACACCCAAGATTTGTGCATTTCACTACATGTAAATTATACCTCATCTTTATTTTTATTTTTTATTATTTTCTAAATTAAAATTTTAAATTCCATTCAGTTAATATAGAATGTAATATTAGCTTCAGAAGTAGAATTTAAGTGATTCATCACTTACATATAACATCCAGTGCTCATCACAACAAATGCTCTCCTTAATCTCCATCACCCATTTAACCCATCCCCTGGCCTGCCTCCCACCAGCAACCCTAAGTTTGTTCTCTGTAGTTAAGAGTCTGTTTTATGATTTGCCTTTCTCTTTCCCCCTGCCCATGTTCATCTGTTTCATTTCTTAAATTCCACATATTAGTGAAATCATATGATGTTTGTCTTTCTCTGACTGATTTATTTCACTTAGCATAAAATACTGCAGCTCCATCCATGTCATTGCAAATAGCAAGATTCAGTCTTTTTTGTGGCTGACTAGTATTCCATTGTATATATATACCATATCTTTATTCATTCCTCAGTCGATGGACATCCATAGTTTGGCTATTGTTGATAATGCAACCATAAACATGGGAATGGATGTATCCCTTTGAATCAGTATTTTTGTATCCTTTGGGTAAATACCCAGTAGTGCAATTGTTGGATCATAGGGTAGTTCTATTTTTAACTTTTGAGGAACCTCCATGCTGTTTTCCAGAGTGTCTACACCAGTTTGCACTTCTATCAACAATGTAAGAGGGTTTCCCCTTCTGGACATCCTCACCAACATCTCTTTATTTCCTGTTGTTAATTTTTGCCAGTCTGACAGGTGTGAGGTGGTATCTCATCATGGTTTTGATTTGTATTTATTTCCCTGATAAGTGAGGTTGAGCATCTTCTCATGTGTCTGTTAGCCATCTGGATGTCTTCTTAGGAAAAATGTCTATTCATGTCTTCTGTCCATTTCTTCACTGGATTTTTTGGGGTGTTGAATTTCATAAGTTGTTTATAGATTTTGAATACTAACCCTTTATCAGATATATCATTTGTAAATATCTTCTCCCATTTGAAGGTTCCCTTTTAGTTTTGTTGTTTCTTTTGCTTTGTAGAAGCTTTTTATCTTGATGAAGTCCCAGTAGTTCATGTTTGCTTTTGTTTCCCTTGCCTTTACTGATGTGTCTAGTAAGAAGTTGCTTCGGCCACAAAGAGGTTGCTTCCTGTATTCTCCTCTAAGATTTTGATGGTTTCCTGTCTCACATGTAGGTCTTTTATCCATTTTGAATTTATTTTTGTATAAAGTATTACACCTCAACTGAAAATTTTTCCTGTTTCACCTCTCTTCATTTGTTTCTATCTTTCCTTAAAACTAGCTCTCCTTCTGGCTTCCTTTCTTATTAACTGAAACCAGTTAAATTTTTTGTAGTTGGTCCTTAAATCCTGTTGGCTCTTCCTTTAAAATATCTCCATCCATACTGTTTTGAAACCATGTCTGTTCTAGAATTTTAGCCATGACCACAAGCCCACATTATTGTCAGGGACTTAATGGTTTCCCTGCTTTTCACACTCAAAACTATTCTACAATATGCCAGCAAAGCTGTCTTTCTGAAGCACCATTCAGAGGATGCTAGCACCCTGACTGTTAATTCTTTTCTTCAAAAGTCTTGAGGAGGCTGCTGTTTCTGGTTTACTAGGTACAGATCAGGCTCCAGCGTTGTATTCAGGATTCTCATGATCTGGCCTCAATCAGCCATACTACTTCCCTATCTGTACACAATCCTTTTGAAAACTGTAATACTTAGTAGTTACAAATCCATTTTGTTCTCTACTGCTGATAGTCTTCATTCATATTTTTCTCTCCCTAAATGCCTTCTTTCTTATACCAGCCCTATCTCAAACCATTTCAACCTGAGGGGGCTATTGTGTGCCCCATGAAATCCAAGAACCCTGTGAAATTCTATCCAAACATTTCTGTATTTGTGCAGTTTTATGGAGAAAAGGGTTGTTTTCAAATTCTCAAAAGGGGTTCATAAACCCCAAAAGTTTAGTTGATTTAGTGGGCCTTTGAAGGCATGTAAATGATCTCATTTTGTTTTAACAAAGTTTTTGTCTCATTAAAACTCAGTCCCCTGAGCATCTGGGTGGCTCAGTGGATTAAGTGTATGACTCTTGATTTCAGCTCAGGTCATTATCTCTCAGTTCGTGAGATCAAGCCCCACATCAGGCTCTGTGCTGACAGTGTGGAGCTTGCTTGGGGTTCTCTCCCTCTCTCTCTGCACCCCTCCTCAAAATAAATAAACATTTTTTAATCTAAAGCAAAAAAGCAAAAAACTTAGTCTTCATGGGACACTTGGGTGGCTCAGTCGGTTGAGCATCTGACTCTTGATTTCAGCCCAGCTCATGATCCCAGGGTCATGGGATTGAGCCTCATGTTGGATTCTGCACTGAGCATGGAACCTGCCTAGAATTCTCTCTCTCTCTCTGTCTCTCTTTCTCACTCTTCCCTCTCCCTACTACTCTCCCCTGTTCTCTCTCTCTCAAAAATAAAAATAAATTTAAAAAATTAAATAAACTTCATCCTCAGTATGCTGGGTAATAGAACTTTTTTTAATCAATAAGTTATATTTAAAGCTTAAAGTTTCAGATGCAGGTTAAATGGCTTGTCCTTATTCATTGTTTAGGTCCCTAGATTTAGTTCTTTGTGTGGAATTTATTTTCTTCACAAGATAGTATCTTAATACTTTTTACTTTGGTATCTTAGGGGGAGATTTTCTTCCCCTCCCACATGACTGTTTGCACAGCTAGACAATACCATCTCTGTATGCTTTGAATTTAAAAGATGTTAGTCACATTTTTCAACACTTTTTTTTTTTTTTTTTTTCTGTTTCAGATTCCTATAGGCAATGGAAACTGATCTCAATTCCCAGGACAGAAAGGACCTGGACAAGTTTATTAAATTTTTTGCCCTCAAGGTAATATGTCTATTCTCTTGAGCTCAGAACTGTTAGAAATAACTTCCGTGCTTCTCCCTTTTTGGAAATATAGAATAACAGCTTGCAGCTTGCCCATTTTAAGGGATACTTCTGTCTGTTGTAAACCAAACTGTGAAGTTTGGGGGCGGTACTGGGGGAGTAACTAAAAAGTAGCTTCCAATTTTCCACAGCTACTTGTTCAAAAAAAATTTTTTTTGCAAGGCTGTTTGCAGAAATGTCAAACTATTATGCCAGGTTATTGGCACAGTATGTTCCCTTGGGGTGGGAACAAAGACTGTGGACTGGAATGGACATCATTTTGGGCATCTTTCCCAAAGCCATCAACTAACTCTGAAATGTCTAACTTCCACTTATTTGTTCCCGTCTGGGTAAATGAGGAATTAAAATTGAATTTTGAATGCTTTAGAAGTTATATTTTCCTAAATCTAAAAACCATTTCCACCTTTATCACTTCTTCTCACGATTACCATGTAAAAAAACAATCCGTGCAGTAGATTCTGGTTGTAAAATTAGTTGGGAGACTTTTGCCATATGGGCCAAATGATATGAATAATTGTGGAATCCTTGGTTTAAATCTACTATGATTATATAAGTGTATGGCAGTGAATATTTAAACCTATGGTTGGACTTGTTTCTTTATGAAAGTCAGAGACACCATGTGCAAATTTCCTTCTGCCATGTGAGAATATTATAGATCCCAAGCCTTGAAGTAAAATTCCTCCAGTTGGTTGACATTATGCCCTCAGCAATATTTGCAGTATTAGTTTTGTGTAGTGTTTTTTCTATCCTTGAATTTTAAAATCCTACCCTTTCCTACAATATAGTTATGATCATTATCATGTATTTAACCTTGCATTCAGAGGATGTTAACTCTGATTATGAGCCAAATCAATTTAAGACTCTTCATCTTTAATATTTTTTGTTGTTTGCTTTTTTTCAGACTGTCCAAGTGATTGTCCAGGCTCGACTTGGTGAGAAGATTTGTACTCGTTCATCTTCATCCCCAACGGGTTCAGATTGGGTAAAATTCCCATTCTTTGTTAAGGGGTATACCGTGGTGTTTGTCACAAGGAATCATAGTGCAATAGTAACGAATACTATTTGTAGTATTACTAAATTGTAACATTAAAATATGTAATTCCATTTGATCCATTCACTTGGGCAAATGTGAGTCCTAGGTTTATTTGGTTCTCAGCTTTCTGCTGTAGTAGGTGAAAACTTAGTCATTAGAGGACAACTAACTAATCTTTGAAATAATTCATTAGCTTTTTCAACCTGAGGTTTAGGGCTTTGATGCAGGATATCTCTTCTGGGCAAGAGAGACTTGAATGAATGGCCTGAATCACTCAAAGCAATGCCTGTATTACCAAACATAACCATCTTACTGCTTTTTGTTTCCATAATGTTTCTTATGAGTGTTTAACACAGTCTCTTTTGTTTTCTAGTTCAACTTAGCAATCAAAGATATCCCAGAGGTTACACATGAAGCAAAAAAGGCACTGGCAGGGCAGCTGCCTGCTGTCGGGAGATCAATGTGTGTGGAGATCTCACTCAAGACTTCTGAGGTAAGGTTATGACCAGGATGGTGTTTTCACGTGGCACCAAAACTCTTCACATTCTGGTTTCAACTCAGCCTCCTTCTTGCTCCTTCTCTCTCTGAATTTAGCATTCTCCAAGGAGGTCATGCTTTTTTTTACTTATTCTCCCAAACGCTTGGAATGAGCTCTTTGTCCTACTGAAATGTTTCTACTCATCCTTCAACACTCACATGCGCTTGAAAATCCCCTCCTTCTTTTGAGGGAGGGGTAACTACTTTCTTTAGACTTCCTATGTGCTTTGTTTACATTGTTTCTAAAGTATAACTTGATGTATGGTGATTTTTCTAGTTTTTTTTTTCTTGATGTTTTGTGATTTTACCTTATTTCACACCAGGATCAAAGCAGGTATTGTTACTTGCATGTTTATTCATCTATACCCACTACAAGATTGTGAAGCTGCATGGTATAATAAAAGGCAGTTGGAGTTTGGAGCTACATAGACCCAAGTTCAGATCCCAGCTGAGTGACTTTGGCCAAATTACTCAACTCCTCCCCCACCAAACTATAGTCTTACAGGGTTATTCTATTTTCTTATTTATTTATTTTTATTTTGAGGGAGAGAGAGCATGTGTATGTACATGCGGTAGGGGCCGAAAGAAAAGAAGAGAGAGAACTCCGAGCAGGCTCCGTGCTGTCAGTGCAGAGTCGCGTGAGGGTTCGATCCCACTAACTAGTAAGATCATAGCCTGAGGTGAAATCAAGAGTCTAACCAACTCAGTGACCCAGGTGCCCCAGTTTCATCCTTATTTGTAAAGTGCCTAACATAAAGTAGGTGATCATTACATGTTCCTGTTCATACTTTACATACACTTTTATTCTTGAGGTGAACGGTTATACCACATCTTATTTATTTTTGTAGTTCTTCAAATTCTTTTTTTTTTTTTTTTTTAATTTTTTTAATGCTTATTTTTGAGAGAGGGGCGGGGAGGGGCAGACAGAGAGAGAGGGAGATACGGAATCTGAAGCAGGCTCCAGGCTCCAAGCTGTCAGCACAAAGCCCAATGTGGGGCCTGAACCCATGCACCATGAGATCATGACCTGAGCTGAAGTCGGACACTTAACGACTGAGCCACCCAGGCGCCCCTTCAAATTATTTTTGAAATGAAGCAGGATGTAAGTAAATAATCATCTCTTATGTATGCCTAGCACAGTGCCTGGGATGACACATAATGGCCTCTCCATGAATTCTGTTGAATGAATGATGTCAGTACTTATTCCATGGAAACTTTAGCACCCCTGAGAAAACAAAACTTCCTATTCTTCATTGAATTGTCATTTTATACTATGAATTATTTTCCTTTCCCAGGCACAATCTGAGTATAAAATATTCTGAACATCCTAGACAAACTGTGTCAACTTATTCTGGGTACTTTCTACTATTGAGCCATCCTTTGATTTGGGGGAACAGGGGGAATTTAAAATTTATCATATCATTTAAAAAAGACAGTATGATGAAAAAGATATATTAAAGATACATATTTCTGTTTGATCTAGAACAAGTAAGTTCTCTGTTCCACAAACTGACCTAAGCTTACTCCCAAATCTTTACATAATTCTCTTCCAGTTGATTGGTAATAAGGTTGCTTGTGTTCAAAAGTATGTGGCTGTTCTTCTCACTAAGTGGCACACAAGAGTGTTACAGGGTTGAAGTATTCTGGCTTTAGTCTGTTTTTCTTTCCCACCAACTAGACTAAGTCTGTTCAGAGGCCCGGAGAAAGACTGAATAGTTGGCTAAAAGACATTACACAGCTAAAAAGATTTTTAAGTAAGGAGCTTGTTAAGGTATTCCTTAACTGTGGGTGTCACCTAAAATATCCCCTGTAGAATTGGAGGGAAAGGCTGTCTCTATCATTTGAAGTATTGGCCTTTTTGAAGAGCAATTTGGATATACATAGCAGAAGTCTTAGAAGCATAAGTACTCTTGGGACACCTTGTTGGCTCAGTCAGTTGAGCATCCAACTCCTGATTTTGCCTTGGGTCATGATCTCACAGTTCATGGGATCGTACCCTGCGTCAGGCTCTGTGCTGGCATCAAGGAGCCTGGTTGCGATTCTCTTTCTCTCTGCTTCTTCCCTGCTCACCCACCCTCTTTCAAAGTAAGTAAATAGGGGCACCTGGGTGGCTCGGTTAGGTGTCCAACTTTGGCTCAGGTCATGATCTCATGGTTCGTGGGTTCGAGCCCTGCTTTGGGCTCTGTGCTGACAGCTAGCTCAGAGCCTGGAGCCTGCTTTGGATTCTGTGTCTCCATCTCTCTCTGACCCTCCCCTACTCATGCTGTCTCTCTCTCTCTCTCCCTCAGAAATAAATAAAACATTAAAAAATTTTAAAAAAACAAAAAAACAAAATAAGTAAATAAACGTTTTTAAAAAAGCATGAATACTCTCTTTAACAGTGCTAATTCTGAAAAATTGCCTTAAGAAACTAATTCAGGGCACGGACAAAGTTTTAGTCTCAAGGCTGTTTATCACAGTGTTGTCTGTTAATATTGTAAAATTAGAAACAACTTATATGTCCTTGTATGGGGAGACTGATTTGATAAAATGATGGTCATATGGTGCGATACTATGCAACCATTAAAAATGGTATAGAATTTTTAATTATAGGGAAATTTCATGTTAGTTTATTAGTAAAAAATTACATATATAGTATAATCTCACATTATTTTTTTTAAGTTTATTTATTTAAGTAATCTCTATACCCAAGATCAAAAGCTACATGCTCTTCCAACTGAGCCAGCCAGGAGCCCCACACATCATTTATTAAAGTGGCTGATTAGATTATAAAGTTTTTTTTTTTTTGCTTTATTTATATTTTCGACATTTTTATAGTGACTATAGTGCTTTGTAATAAGAAAAAATAATTTAAAAAAAAACAAGCAAAACTGAAATCTCTTTCAATTGTCCCATCCACAGGGAGATTCCATGGAGCTAGAAATTTGGTGTCTTGAAATGAATGAGAAGTAAGTATTGTGTCTTAGGGTCCATGGTGCAGTAGCTGAGGATAGAACAGATGACATCATGTGAAAAGCAGGGCTTTGTTACCAGTTGTGGAGGGTGTTCTTCCCACTTAACAAAGCCAATAGGTCTTTGCTACAGTTTGCCTCATGCTTGGCTTCCAGCCCAGGCACAGAGATGACCTTCAGAGGGTGGGTCAGTCCTGCGAGACTCAGACACCACAGGGGAAGGAGCAGAGCAAAGTCTCAAAAAGATTTGTTGTTTTCCCAGAGTACAGCCAGTTCTCTGATTAAATCCCTTGCGAACTCTTGTAAATGTCTACTCAGTTGTCTTTTTTTCTGTGTGGCAGAAATCCAGTATGATTTCCCTTCACTACTCCTTTTTACATGCTGTGTTGGTCATGGATTGGAAATGCATGTTATTTTCCTTTTCCATTTTCTTCTTTCAAGGAAGATTAGCTTACTTTTTGCCTGAAGCTTCAGTTTTCAAGAACAGTATATAGGAAAATTGATGAAATGGCAACACATCAAAAGAAAAATCTTAGTAATAAGTATGTGGAGTGTGGACATTATTTTTCTTTCTTGAATAGAAAGCAATTGCCAGATTATAGGCCAAAATTTTAATGCTCCAACCTGTTAGATATACAGAGGTAGACAGTTCATAAGATAGTACATTGAAATTGTTTACACCTTCGGTAATTGCAGTGTCGAATTACTGTTTTTAAGTGTGTAGCTTTATTTCTTAGAAAGATAACTGTTTCAGTGCTAGAAAAAAATACAGTAGGTGCCCTTTGAGGTCTACCTACCTGGTTCTAGAGCATGAGAAAGTAAAACTTTTGCTTACCTCAATAATTTGTTGATAAACTCTATAGAACTCTAATTGCACTTTTAGTTCAGAACATATTTTAATGACAAAGTTAATCTTATACAGTTCCCATGCTGAATTTCCAGTCATCTCTGTTGACTGTAATCTTCTGTGAAAGGTGTATTTGGAATGCAAAGCAGGTTATATTCTATCAGGATTTATGAATAATGCTAGCAGGTTAATCTCAGTCACGACAGAACGTGACTAACATCTCTGTATCTGTGCATTTCTTGGTTTTATGTTAGTTGAGTAGGCAAATGCTGATTGTGTCTGTGCACTCCTCAGGTGTGATAAAGAGATTAAAGTTTCCTACACGGTGTACAACAGGCTGTCGCTGCTGCTGAAGTCCCTTCTTGCCATAACTAGGGTGACACCGGCTTACAGACTCTCCAGAAAACAGGGGCATGAATATGTCATATTATACAGGTAAACAACATAGCTCTTCACCTTCTCGATTCACTCATTAGCTTTATCACTTTGCACATTGTTTGACCTGCATATGGGTATCTTGTGATTAATTCTGGATAGATGGTTGCTTGGATAGTTGATGCTATAGCTTTACTGTGATTATCTAGTCCTCCTCCTTTGTGAACCTCAGTTTTCTAAAGCTACGGGGTTCTTGGTCCTTTTGTTTGTGCACACTCATGAGTACTGTGGAATGGATTTGGGGGTTCTACTGGTACACATCTCAAAGCTCAAAAAGGAGCTTAAGACTTTAAGCTCTCCTGTGAAGATTCCACAGCCTTCTACATTTTGGAATTAAATTAAATCTTGTCTAACAGCCTGCTAATTCAACTTGTTTTTCTTTTTAATTTGTTTTTAATTGGTTGTCTGTGGATGTAAAGAACTCATCAGTAGTTCATAAAGTATTTCCCTTGGAGTAGTTCACCTCAACACCTATTTATTAAGTGCCTTTTTAATGCAAGTGTTGTGCTAGGCCCAAGGAAGAATATACAGAGGCCCTGCCCTACAGGTGTTCTTAATCTGATGGAGAAACAGTTTGGCACATGCATAATTATAATAAAAATTAGGATTGGAAAACTACATAGCAGTATCAGGAAAAAAGTCCTAGAAGAACACAAGAAGGGAAAGTTTGTTCTAGGTGGGGGAAACCAGACAGGCTTCCTGGAGAAAGTGGCATTCAAGCTAGACCTTGGAGCAGAGAGAACTTTAGCTGATAGAAGTGAAAGAGAATGATCATTCCAGGTGGGAAGTGTAAAAGATAGCAAGGGATAAAAGTGGGGGATGGGATCTGAGCTGTGCTCAGGTTGTCAGATTGACCTGAGCGGTGGTAAAAAGGATAAGGAGGGGGGGCACCTGGGTGGCTCAGTCGAATAAGCATCCGACTTCGGCTCAGGTCATGATCTCACGGTTTGTGGGTTCGAGCCCCGCGTCGGGCTTTGTGCTGACAGCCAGCCTGGAGCCTGTTTCAGGTTCTGTGTCCCCCTCTCTCTCTGACCCTCCCCTGCTTGCTCATGTGCTTTCTCTGTGTCTCTCAGAAATAAATAAAATATAAAATTTTAAAAAAAAGATAAGGAAAGTGTGAGAGCAGAGCGTGGAAAGCCAGGAGTTTCCAAATCACCCAAGACTCTCTTGGTATATTAATGATGAGCCATTGATTTTAGCCTTTGGCTTACATGTATAGAGTGATTGTGAGGAGAAATTAGTATAGCAGGATGGAAGGAGTAAGGATTAGAGACTTAACTAGTTATTTTGAAACAATCTACTACCTGAGAATAGTTATCAAGTCATTCTGTAATTTTCTTAGTAATATAGCAACCTTACTCATGTTTATTTTTTCATCTTTAAAATATATTTGTTGTCTTTTCTGTAGTCTTCCCAGGTTTCAGGTTGAGTATTCCATTTGAAAATTACTGGACTTTTAGTCAAATATAACAAATCACTTTCTAACTCTTATGCTAAACCCCCTTCACTTTGGTTCTTTTGTAAGTAACCATAATACACCACTAGGTATCAGCTTAGTTGACTAGGACTCCTAGTCCTTTTCGTTACCAGTGTTTAAAGGCATCCTTTATTCTGTGCCTCTGGAGTAATACAGTATGTATTGTTCACAGTTTATCATTTAAGAGTACTTTTGGATACAGATAACTGTAGTTTAAACCATAGAGAAATGGGTGATCTCAGATATAGAATTGTCTATTTTCCCCCCTTTTAATACTATTTTTAACAGGGTAGGGGCTCAGTCAGTTAAGCATCCAACTTCAGCTCAGGTCATGATCTCATGGCCCGTGAGTTTGAGCCCTACGTCGAGCTCTGTGCTGACAGCTCAGAGCCTGGAGCCTGCTTCGGATTCTGTCTCCCTCTCTCCCTGCCCCTACCCTGCTCGTGCTCTGTCTCTCTCTCGTTCTCAAAAATAAATAAACATTAAAAAATGAAACAAAACAGGGTAACAGTATAACCTTATATCATTAAATAATAGCCTTCTCTTTTTTTCAGCTATATTATCATTTTCTCCTGGCCCTATAGATTTGATCATGTCACTGTAGAATTACATCATTATAAAAATTCATTCTGAATTTGTTGTTCATCAAGACTGAATTAAAGTAAATTATTGTCTACTATCTGTGAAGAAAATTTTTGCTTAGCACCTGAATGGTATAAAGAATATAGCCAAGGGGCATCTGGATCAGCTCAGGTTGTGATATTGTGGTTGTAAGATCGAGCCCTTCCCCATGTCAGGCTCCATGCCATGCTGAGTGTGGAGTGGAACCTGTCTGAGATTCTCCTCGCCCCATGTGCATGTGCATGTACGTGCACTCTCTCTCTGTCAAAAATAAACATTAAAAAAAAGAAAAGGGGCATCTCTGTGGCTCAGTTGGTCTCTCCCTGCCCTCCCTCAAAATAAATAATATACATTAAAAAAAGATATAGCCAAGAGAAAGGTTAGATAATGAGGTTATTTTAAGCAGTGTACCCAATATTCACATCGGTATTGAGTTTGTGTTGTTTGTTTTTTGGGGGTTTTGTTTGTTTTTGGGGTGTTTTTTTTTTTTGAGTTTTCGGTTTTGTTTTTGATAGAGCAAGAGCATAAGCAGGGAGGGACAAAGGGAGAGGGAGAGAAAGAATTCCAAGCAGCTTCCATGCCCAGTGTGGGGAGCTTGATCCTACAACAACATGGGGCTTGATCCTGTAACAGTAAGCTCATGACCTGAGCCAAAATCAAGAGTCAGATGCATAACCGGCTGAACCACCCAGGTGCCCCCAAATGGGTACTGAATTTATTTTTATTAGAAGGTTACTAGCAAGATATGTTTGGCAACATTTTATTGACATCATTTCTGTATTACTTTATGGCAGGGATCGGCAAACTATGGGTAGCAGACCATCTGCTTTTTTTTTATTGAAAAAGTTGTTTGGTTTTTTTTTTTTTTTTTTAGTAATTTCTACAAAACACTCAACATGGGGCTCGAACTCAGGACCCCAAGATTCACCTGAGCCAGCCAGGTGCTGCAAAATACAAGTTATTTTAGAACCCAGCCACCCCTTTCATTTGTGTACCATCATCAGCGGCTACTTTTGCAGGACAACAGCAAAGTTGAGACTTTATGGCCCACAAGCCTAAAATATCTGATCCTTTTAACAAAAGTTTGCTGGCCCCTGTTTTATGGTATCTGTCACTTTGATGCATGTATTTCAGATATTTATATACGTTTCTTTTCTCCCATACCAGATCATAATTTGTGAGACCTAGGCTTCAGATTTACCCTGAATCTCATCCCTACTTTCTCCTTATCACGTGCCCAGCACCTAACCATAGGGATTTACACATTGTTAGAACTTAGCTTTTAATCGAACAAACCCATGTCTGTGTTTACTTTTTAACAATGTTACTTGAAAAATATAGTAATGTTTTGTAGTATAGTTTGTAATGTTTTACAGCTCAGACTTTTAGCTAATATAGATGGGCCTTCCCAGGGAATCAGAGAAAGGTTCTGCTGTGCTTATATTTTTATATTTTCAGAATAGTCTTATGTAATCATTCTATAGTGGAAAAGATTTCATAATTTCTTTTTTTTTTTTTTTAAGTTTATTTTTGAGAGAGAGAGAGATTGTGTGAGCTGGGGAGGGGCAGAGAGAAAGGAGGACAGAAGATCTGAAGCACTGATAGCGCAGAGTCCAGTGCGGGGCTTGGACTCACAACCTGTGATATCATGGCCTGAGATGAAATCAAGAGTCAGACTGGGGCACCCAGGCGCCCCGTGGTTTTCTAATTTGTTAACTTTAGAATGACTTGTGACAAGCATGGAGAGCTCCCATTAACTGAAGACCGCTCTTCAAAATCTAGTACCTTGTATCGCTTGTTTGAAAGTTGCTAAGAAGGAAGATCTTCAGTGTTCTCATCACAAGGGAAAAAACTTCTGTTTGTATGGTGATGGATATTAACTAGACTTACTGTGATAATTTGTAATGTGTAAACAAATATTTAATCATTATGTTTACATCTGAAACTAATATAATCTTATGTTGAACATATCTAAAAAAAATCTAGTACTTTTTAAAAAAATTTTTAATGTTTTTTATTTCTGAGAGATAGAGAGACAGCATGAGTAGGGGAGGGTCAGAGAGAGAGGGAAACACAGAATCTGAAGCAGCCTCCAGGCTCTGAGCTAGCTGTCAGCACAGAGCCTGCCGTGGGGCTCGAACCCACGAACCGTGATCAGATCATGACCTGAGGTGAAGTCGGACGCTTAACCAACTGAGCCACCCACACACCCAAAAAAAATTTAATACTTTCTAATAGTAATTCCAGATCTCTTTGCCAGCCTTATTTGCATATTATTTATTTCCCACTAGTTATACTTTAAAAATACATTGCAGGAAGGGAATCTGGGTGACTCGGTTAAGCATCCAACTTCAGCTCAGGTCATGATCTCACATTTGTAAGTTCAAGCTTTGCGTTGGGCTCTAACAGCTCAACTTGGAGCCTGCTTCAAATTCTGTGTCTCCCTCTCTCTGCCCCTCCTCTGCTCATGTTCTGTTTCTCTCTCAAAAATAAAATAAAGATTAAAAAATAAATACACTGAAGGAGCAGGAAGAAGAAATTGAAATTGTGAACTCCACTTAATTATTATTTTCCTCATTTTAAACATTTTAAAATGTTTACATATTTTTGAGAGACACAGAGAGCACGAGCAGGAGAGGGTCAGAGAGAGAGGGAGACACAGAATCTGAAAAAGGATCCAGGCTCTGAGCTGTCAGCACAGAGCCTGACAGGGGACTCGAACCCAGGAACTGAGCTGTGAGATCATGACCTGACTGAAGTCGAATGCTTAACTGACTGAACCACCCAGGTACCCCTATTTTCCTCATTCCTTAACCAGTTCTCTTCGTTTACATACCTGTACTTGCAGCTTAATTGAATTAGTAACATTATTGCTCCATTAAGAGAGGTTTTCATGCAGATAAGAAATGGAGGGTTTGTTTTATTTTGTTTCTAGCTAGGTGTTTTGGATGGAGGGTTTGTTTTATTTTGTTTCTAGCTAGGTGTTTTGGCTATAGAGGCCCTTAGAATAAAGAATCATTTCCTTTTCTTTTTTTTCCTAAGGATATATTTTGGGGAAGTGCAGCTGAATGGCTTAGGAGAAGGTATGTATCAAATTTGAAAAGCACTTGTAGTGTTCAGAGCCCTCCTGACTTCAAAGATATGTTTGAATGCTGCCTGTAATAATATATAGCTTGTGATTTTAGTATGTGTGATATAAGTAAGGAAAAGACAGAAAAGTGGTTCAAAGAGCTGCCAGGGAATGAATGAATAATTTTCCCCAAAGTTTTACTAACTCAGTATTCTTTCTTATTCTTTATACTATTGTCTGTTTCCCTAATTTTCTACAGTGAGATGTTAAACATTTCTGATGAGCATAAGCAGTTTTGAAAAACGGGAAATGAAACCAAGAAAACCAGGAAAGCTTTGTTGGAAGTATTGCCGGCAAGGCCCTGGCTCTTTTCTATACTTAGTTCTGGGTGGGAACATGAATAGAAGTGCAGTTACTTCTGCACCTACATAAACTGAGGTGTTTGTGTGACAAACCCCGAGGGCCCTTTACTGTCTCACTGGGCATGTGACACATTTGGGCCAGGTTGGCTAGGACTTGCTCAAACTTTAGGACAAACAGTTGTTTTGCCTCTTTGAAGGTAGGTTTATCTGTAAATAGAATGCTGTTTTCCTTTCCAATATTAGTTCAACATAAAATGAATCAATAGAAAAAAACCCCAGATCTATATAAGAAATTGAGGCAGCTGCACTCATGGTTCTAAGTAGATAATGCCAGTGTCAGTATTCTCTGGGGAAAAGCTAATTATTTATTTCTTCTCCTAGGTTTCCAGACCGTGCGTGTTGGGACAGTAGGCACCCCTGTGGGCACCATCACTCTTTCTTGTGCTTACAGAATTAACTTGGCATTTATGTCTACCAGGTGAGGAAAGAGCCTTGGAACCCAAAGGAGTTCTTGCAAAGATATTAAAGATATTAAAGTTTGCTTTTTCCCCAAACTCCGTGGCTAAGCCTGCAGTTCAGCTTTGCCAGTGCTGAAATTGGCCCCCTTCTGAAGAGAGAGCCCAGTTTCCGGATTGGAGAATCTGAGTGTGTCCGAGCCACTAATGTAGAGTTGTGGTTTATATTTAGGGATACAATAGATAAGGCTCTGATGGTTCCTACTAATAGATACAAGGTGAGGGGTCCTCTGGAAACTTCAGGGGGACTGGCAGGGCATTCTAACAAATATTGTGATCTGCTTATTGCATTCTAGGCAATTTGAGAGGACCCCTCCTATCATGGGGATTATCATTGATCACTTTGTGGACCGTCCCTATCCCAGCTCCTCACCCATGCACCCCTGCAATTACAGGTGAGGAATGTGAAAGGTGCTTTCCCAAACTGCAGCTAGGGAGAAGCATTCATCTTGCACAGGTACATAGCGCACGTTCGTCAGCATTCATCAGTGGCAGGGGCAGTGATAGAGACCCCGCATGGAGAGAAATGGAATGGTTAGCTTCCCTTCTTGCTGCTACCTATAAGGCACACCAAGACTTGGAATATACAGGCTACCTCAGAAAATTCTTGGACATTTTGATGGTAGTAATTTGATTTTCAATTTGATTTTCCTTAGAGACTACAAATGGCAGTAATTAACAGAACATCCTTCACAAATTAAATGGTTTTCTGGTCATTATTGGCACAGTTCAGTTATACATTAGAATCAAATTCTTCAGGCCTAAATCCTAGAAAACAATTCTGTAGAGGTTGGAACAGATGTGTATAAGGAAGGATACTGCCTTTATGTGAAGGACTTTTGAAGTTGGATAAGTTTGTCTTTTGAGTTTAGACTTTTGTTTCACTGCATCTCCGTTGCTAACAGTTCTTTGGCCCAACACTGGTCAGGCTTAAGAAAATATTCTCAAGTGATATATCAGGTAAAGTGTTTGGGTTAAAAATCAAAAGCTTGCTCTACCTCTAAATATTTGAAATTATCAAGGACTCATCACACCTCTCTTGCCATAAGAGCTCTGCCTGAAACAGTACTTGCATCCTTATCTAAGCTCCCTTTGTGTCCTCTCCGAAATCAACTGCCATCACAGTAAAATTCATGATTCATTTTCCCCCTGTCATAGAACTGCTGGTGAGGACACTGGAGTAACATACCCTTCGGTGGAAGATTCTCAAGAAGTGTGTACCACCTCTTTTTCCACCTCCCCTCCATCCCAGGTAGGGGGAAACAGGTTCTGGGGTAGCTGTAGTTATTAGTGCATATACCAGGCCTTATGAAATGGTCTCAGAATTTAGATACAGTCTCTTTTGGTGGTGGTGGTGATTGTTTCTGGGGGTTTCCTTTGAGAGGTGTGGGAGAGTCTTCTTATCCAGTAGATAATATTACATTGTTTCTAATCTGTAACCATTCTTTAAAACTTTTTTTTTTTAACGTTTTTACTTATTTTTGAGAGAGACAACGTGAACAGGGGAGGGTCAGAGAGAGAGGGAGACACAGAATCTGAAACAGGCTCCAGGCTCTGAGCTAGCTGTCAGCACAGAGCCCAATACGGGGCTCAAACCCACCACCCATGAGACCTGAGCTGAAGTCGGACGCTTAACTGACTGAGCCACCCAGGCGCCCCTTATCTGTAACCATTCTTAACCTACAAGATTACGTGTAACCTTTACCTTCCTGGAGACATCTTGAAATTCCCCAGAAAATCAGTCACAGGATTCCAAATGCATTCTAATACCAGAGAGAGATTCTACCCTACACTTGTTAATTTGGTAGCCAGTTCACTTTTGAGGTGGTAAATATGGTTCCTAATAATGGAAAGAGCACAGACAGAGCCAATAATTATTTAGCATAAAATGCCAGTAAGAAGCCAGCAGATCAGTTTTTGTAATGGTTGATACAGATTTCTGGCTATCTGCATTCTTTATCTGTACATGTTTGTTGTTGTTGTTAAATGTTTATTTTGAGAGAATGAGAGAGAGAGAGAGAGCGTGAGCATGGGGGAGGGGCAGAGAGAGAAGAAGAAAGAGAATCCCAAGCAGGCTTCACGATGTCAGTGCAGAGCCCACTGCGGGGCTCCATCTCACAAACCATGAGATCATGACCTGAGCCAAGATCAAGAGTCGGATGCTTAACCAACTAAGCCATCCAGGTGCCCTCTCTGAACATTTTTAACCATTAACTTTTCCGCTTGAGTCAATCTTCAGTGTCAAGCCCAGTTTCAATGAAACACAGGCTCGTGTTCCCAGTGTCCAAGCGGACATGGCTGTGTGGCCTTGTTGTATAATGTATGTGGTACCAGGTCTGGTTCAGCTAAGTAGTTGTTTGTTGCCAGATGACTGAATTTCAGGGTGCACTTCTTCCCTTCCACCTCGAGTCATTCATCTCCCACCTCATGGCTTGCAGCTTGCTGATCTGCCTGTTCATTGTCTCTGTCGCTCCCCTCCCCTCTCTCACATTAGATCTAACTCAGTTCTGTGTTCCTCTCAATTAGTCCCAGATGATCCCCTTTCACCATCTTTTTTTAAAAATTTTAAATTGTATTGATTGATCGATATTTTTAGGGTTTTTCAGAGAAAGAGCACAAGTGGGGGACGGGCAGAGGGAGAGAAAGAGAAAATCTCAAGCAGACTCCGTACTGAGCATGGAGTGCTCATGCATGGCTTGATCCCCCAATCCTGAGCTTAAATCAAAAGTTGGACATTCAACTAACTAAGGCACCCAGGCACCTCCACCTTTCACCATTTTATTTTGGGAGCCCAACAAATTAGTTCACTATGCATATATAAATTTTTGTTTTCTGTGGGTTTTGTTTTTTGAAGCCATTTTTTTTTAATGTGTATTTATTTTTTAGAGAGCAAGAAAGAGAATACGAGCCAGGGAGTGGCAGAGAAAGAGAGGGGGACAGAGGATTCAAAGTAGGCTCCATGCTGACAGCAGATAGCCTGATGCGGATGGAGGTTGAACTCAGAAACCGTGAGGTCATGACCTGATCTAAAGCGAGACGCTTAACTGACTGAGCCACCCAGGGGGCCCCCTATGTTTTTTATTAAAATATTTAGAGGCACTGGGTATGGAGCCTTCTCTCTCTTTCCCTCTGCCCCTCCCCTGCTCGCCCTCTCTTCTCTCTCAAAAAGAGAAAGAAAGAGAGAGAAAGAAAGAAAATTTTTAAATTTATTTCATTCTGAGTTTTTAGGAGATCTTGGATTTAAATTATGATTCTAATCTGTTCCAAAAGCAGAAGTTAAGACACAAAAGCTAGCTTAATGTCTGTGGAGGAAATTACAAAATCCATAGCTCACTACTATTTCTGTTGTTCCAATTTAGAGTTAAGGAGGTTCTTGTAAAGCTACCCAGACAGTTTGGTTTGGGGGGGTGACAACTGTTACTCCCTTCCCCCCCTCAAACATATATAGGCATAAGTGTCACCATTGCTCTGGGAGGGGGCAGCTTCTGGAACACTTACCGACATAGAGCAATACAGACCAGAAAAGAGGGGAAAGCCCACTAGAGCACATTAGTGGAAGTAGATTATTTTTTAGATAAGCAAAATGTTAAGTCAGTGTCAAGTTTGGTGTTCATTGAAGTTTTATTTTCTTGTACAAGTGATACATTCATAATAAATAAAGTTGTGACCTGGGAAATAAGAGGATGGTGAGGTTGGGTCTTAACAAATCAGTTTGTCTCTGTCTTGGATACAGCGGAAATTTGACCCGACCCCAAAAGTGAGGGGAAGTTAAGTAGTTCCTGTATCTCATGTTTGCAGAGTTTGTTGGCCTGTGTAAGAGGAGCCTGCCTTTCTCATGGGATCAGTTGCCTGCTGTGTCTTATCATAGTTTGAAAGTAGATCATTACAAGATCTTACCAACATTGAGCATCCCATGGGTGAGCCCTGGCACTACCCTCTGAGTACCTCTAGTCAAGGCTGGTACAGTTTGGTGCGGCAGTATTCATTTTGAACCTTTTTTTTTTTTTAATGTTTTATTTATTTCTGAGAAAGAGAGAGAGACAGTGTGAACCGGAAAGGGTCAGAAAGAGAGAGAAACACAGAATCCAAAACAGGTTCCAGGCTCTGGGCTAGTTGTCAGCACAGAGCCCGATGTGGGGCTCAAACACATGAATGGTGAGATCATGACCTGAGCCGAAGTCGGACGCTTAACCAACTGAGCCACCCAGGCGCCCCAGGAATCATTTTGAACCTTAATGGTAGAACAGAGAGAGAATCATTTGCCAGCAGGTCATTCCTGTAAATATTGAAATAGTTTCTTCCTTGATTTAACTCAGGGAATTGCATAATTGTTCAACAACTTCTCTCTGAGCTTGTTGCTAGAGTCCAGTAAATGCATGTTAATTGGGTGTTTGTTTTCCCAACAAAACAAAGACCATTGTGTCATGTGGGCACAGAGTTAAGAAATAGTTGTGACCCTGAACCTGCTACTGTGATTTCAGGTCCAACTTCCAGTTCTAAGCTTTGAGTATCTAATTGGTAAGACATGGAACCAGCAAGACCAAAAATAAGCATAATTAGTTTTGAAATTGAAGAGTTTCGAAAGTGCTCCAGCTTTTACTGCAAGTTCTCCTTCACCATCTGGGGATGTAAAACACACACACACACACACACACACACCCACACCCATACCTTTACACACCCCATACCTGTACACACTCCTTCATCCTGCCTGGGTTGGTATAGTAAATTATGCAGGTGGGTACCTGAGCATCTTCAAGTTCTAGCCAACAAATGTCAGTTGTTTACACCTGTCCCTGCAGATCCTGGGTCCCCAGCAAAAGGCCTTCAGTCTAAGCATCGTAACCTCAGCGTCTTCATTCATCCTCAGCATGTCTTGCACCTGTTCTTGGGCCCTTCCTGCTGGAGACTGTTCTCTAACACCCTTCCACCTGCTTTTGACTAATGACACACTAATGCTTGGTGCAGGTTTCCCTGTTTTGCCAAGTCAAGCCACCTTGACTCAGCTTTGTTTTCCACCTGCTCATCAAGGAGACAACATGCGGTGGAGCCCCCCTGGGACAAATGTCTCTTCTTCAGACCCTTCAGGCTGCCCTTTTAGGAAGGCAGCCATGCAGCTTTCTCCCCGCTTCCCTCCTGACTTCCAGTATGCATTTCAGCCTCTGCTGCTGCTGCCCCTTCCGGAGTTTTTTTCACTTCTTTCTCAAGTCCCTTTTCTTTTTTCTTTTTGTTTCTCCTGTCTCTGTGTGTATCTGTGCACAGTGTGTGTTTACTGTCACAAAGGCACATTTTCAGACCCCTACTCCTGTGGTGACGGATACTCTGAGGGTCCCCATGGCAGGACTGGCCTTTTCCCATCAAGTGAGTCCATCCTGGGAGAAGGGGATATAATCAGATGGCATCTTTTTATTTGAAAAATTATTTTAATGTTTATTTAGTTTTGAGAGAGAGAGAATGCGAGTGTGAGCGGGGGAGGGGCAGAGAGAGAAGGAGACACAGAATCTGAAGCAGGCTCCAGGCTCTGAGCTGTCAGCACAGAGCCTGATGCGGGGCCTGAACTCACGAATCGTGAGATCATGACCTGAGCCAAAGTCAGATGGTTAACCGACTGAGCCACCCAGGCGCCTCAGCATCTTTTTATTTAAAAATTATAAATAAGGTACAGGGTATAGCTATTTAAATGTTCCCAAGTGTTCTGGGGGTTATTTGAGGCTTGGTAATTGATTCTTAACAGGACGCAGCCATAGCACAGCAACCCAAAATAAGATTTCTCGTTTGCCCATCCTCCTGCCATTGATGTAAAAAATACATGGAGTTATTTATATCTGATTTCCAAATAAACAATCCAAGAGTGTAATTTTTTTTCTTTTTCAATATAAATAGGAACCCTCCCATACCAAGGGGTGATAGAGGGTGTGATTAAAGATGCCTTCTGTTTCTAAGGGACCTCAAGGACAAAGGAGAAAATAGAATGACCTGGGAGAAACCAATGACTGGCTGCAAGTTCTGCCTGGGCTGGAAACCTAAACAGTTAGCTGAGCCCCTGGGAAAAGGGAGCAGGGGACTCATTTGAGGCCTTTGGAAGGCTGCAGAGCCGGGACTCTCAATCCCACTGCAAACAAGCCTCTTTTCTTAGCTAAAAAGTGATGGCTTGGTCCGTCTTTAACCCTTACGTCAGGCCCCTTGCACTGTGAGGATGTGGGCTGGGATCCATTCCTTATCTCTCCACAATCTTCATCATTAGTCATACTCTAGGATTGCCTGGTTTTTCCTCCTCCTTTCCTCTGCCCCTCTTTGTTTTTCTCTTGCTTAGCTCTCAAGCTCTCGCCTTTCCTATCAGCCTGCTGCCCTGGGCGTTGGATCAGCTGACCTGGCTTACCCAGTAGTGTTTGCTGCTGGCTTAAATGCCACACACCCTCACCAGGTATTTTTGAAGATGGGGAGGACCCTGGGGGTTCGTGTGCTGCCTGCCTGCCCTGCCCCAAAGCAGTTGAGAGGCCTCTTGAGACACCAGTGTTATTCAGGTGCTCTGAAGCAAAGCTCTTCTGTAACTTCAGAGGACCAGAGGTGACTTGGAGAGGAAGGGCCTCCTAGAGTTCAGAAAGGAAAGAAGAGCTTCCAGTGTTTTCTCCCTCTCTTTCCTTTCTTCTGTAGTCCTTCCAGTGCATGTCTCCTGTTAGCTGAGTCCCAGAGAGGACACAGTTCCAAGGTTTCCCGCCCACTTGGTGGCAGCATTGGTGGTGGAAAAGCTCAGAAGCAACTACCATGACACTGGGCCAGGAGTTTCCCCTCCTGCCTGACACTGCCATTATTCACTGTATTTTTCCATTTCCCCCCAAAGCTCATGGTTCCCGGGAAGGAAGGTGGGGTACCCCTCGCTCCCAAGCAGCCTGCGCACGGTACTCAGGCCGACCAGGAGAGATTGGCGACCTACACCCCTTCTGATGGGGCCCGCTGTGCTGCCACACCTTCCAGCAGGTGGGTTCATGTGTTGGCTGCTCAGGCCAGCAGGCGCCCATCCCCCAGCACATGTGCGTGTATCTCTTGTCAGTAAAGAGTAGCTTTTCAGCATTGCCTCAGGCTTGACACTTATGCCCCAAATGTGGAATTCTTAAAGTTCTTGACACATAAAGAAGCTGCCCTGGGTTTGCTGTGACCAGCCACCAGCAGGGGCCTAGTTCTTAGCACCTGCATTCACTGAAAGGATCTTTCAGATGTGTTTTTTCTCTTACCCCAAGATTTATTCCCTTGGAGTCTGTCTTCAGTGTTTCCTGAGGACCAGAGCAGGGTGTTTGCTGTAACCCCGAAGTTTGGGGCCACAGTGTATCCACAGCGGTAGTTAAGAGTGATTTTTTTTTTCTCTCTGCTATCTAGTACCTCATGGAGATTCTTGAGAAACAACTGCTTTTCCTCATTAAAGAATTTTTAAAATGTTTGTCTTTTCTAATCCCAGAAGTGATTAATTCTGTAGATTTCAAATTAAGGAGACATTGATTCTGCAGGACATGAAAGTTCTCATAATCCCACCCTGTACAAATCACTGCTGTTACTGGTCTTTCAAAGATGAGAGGATCTCGGAGGGTTAAGTAATTTGCCAAAGATCCCTCAGCCCACAGAATGGCTGGATGCGAGCTGAGCTTCTCTTTCCGTTACACTCTGAGCTCTCCCGTGGGAAGATGTGGCTGTCCTGCCCTGCCCTCCCTTGACTGCAGGGCCCCAGAGATGATGACGTGCATTGCCCCACCGCATCCTAAATGAACTTTTGGATAATAGAAATTTTGTTTTTGTTTTTTTTTTCCATTCCCACAGTGGAGCAGTGGGAGGAAAATTATTTAGGAAGATATTTTTGTGCTATCCATCAGGGAAAATAATTACTTTCTTTCCTGGCTTCCCAAACTTCCATCCTTTTATCCCTCCCCCTGTCATGTAATCAAAGGAAGATCCTGTTAGTCATTTTACACTCTAGTTTTCTGAGCCTCGACTCCTAGGCATGTCTGGGATAGCTGGAAACAGAGGACCTAGTATCTATAAGGTAAGGCGTTCTTAAATGCACGTCATCAAAGCTCAGGCCTTTCCTCAGTGCTGGTCCTCCCTGCTGGCTGGTGTCTAGAATCCACTTAGACTGTACAGTTCTCCTCCCCACCTTGAGCTGCTTGCCATTTCCCATGTGGGTGGGCCTGTGGCCAGTCCTGTACTGGACGATGGCTTTATGGGGAGCCACATAGGCTCTGATGTGGTTTGGAAATGAGTAACAACACTATCTTTCTTTTCCAGCGAGGATACTGAAACTGTATCAAACAGCAGTGAGGGCCGGGCATCCCCCCATGATGTCTTGGAAACCATCTTTGTCCGAAAAGTGGGGGCTTTTGTCAACAAGCCCATCAATCAGGTGATTTTTCTGGCATTGCCACCTGTGAGAACATCTCAGGGGTGGGGCTCTTAACCTGAGGTCTGTGTGACCCCTGAAATTGCATGCAAAATTGTGTGTGTTTGTGAATTTTTTGTGAAGAGGGTTAATAACCTGTGACACCCCTCCAGGAGAAGTTCAGAGCTGTTGTTCTGTGATCTTTTAAGCCTCCCAAAGGAGAAGGGAGGTGCCTAGTCTCTAGGCACCGTTTGGTTTAGACACATTGCCTTGAAGTGTTAGTGCCTCAGCCTTACTCAAAATAGGAAGTTCCTCCTCAGCTCTGCCAGTGCACAACAGTTGTTCCTGAGTCACTCTGGGTCAGGATTCCAGAGCTGCTTCCCGGGATCATGGGGAGCCCTACCCCTGTTTGTGCCAGGCGTATGCTGGGAGGCAGAGGAGATTCAGGTTCTCCAACAGGACAGGAACCTGAGATTGGCATGGTCAGCCTGGCTGTGCGAATCTACTGAACCTGCAGGCTTCTGGCTGCCTCTGAGGAAGCCTGTCCGCTGGGGCAGGCATGGGCACTGACATTTCTGTGTCTCTTCAGGTGACCCTGACCAGTTTGGACATACCCTTTGCCATGTTTGCTCCCAAGAACTTGGAGCTGGAGGATGCCGATCCCATGGTGAGTCCCCCTTAGATGGTGAGACGGTGCTGTGCTTGTTGTCTTCCTGGGCGAGTTACTCTTCCTCCACAGACCTTCAGCCTTGCTCCGGGCTTCACGCATTTTCAGCCATCGTTGGGTCCCTTACAAAACCCTTGATTGTTAACAACAACTTGCACCTGTGCATGGAACCAGCCCCTCCCTCCACCTTATTCTGAAACAGGTGACTCCTCCAGATTCCCCAGAGACTGAATCTCCTCTCCAGGGCAGCCTGCACTCTGATGGCTCCAGTGGGGGCAGCAGTGGCAACACCCACGATGACTTTGTTATGATCGACTTCGTAAGTTGCCGTCACCGTTCTTGACCTTTGCTGCCATAGCGGAAATAAACTTAGAAGCATCCAGGGCACTTGGGCAGGACATCCTTCACAGGGATCAGATGGGCTGGTGTAGACAGCGGGGATGGGACAGGTGGGGACTTGGCTGTGCAGTTCATGTGGGGAGCCTGCCTTCATACCCTACATGGGGACACGTTTGAAGGCCCGTGAACAAGAAGACATTTGTGCCATGTCTTTGGTTGAGATTTAGTTCTAACTGGGGATTTGCCAGTGGTATCCCTGTAGATCCTATACCTGCCTGAATGGATGGCCTTTTGCTAAGGAAGGGAGTTTGAGGGAAGGGGACATAAACCTTCTCAGGGGAGAGGGGTCTTATCGCCAGGGGTAGGGTTCAGCTGCCCGGAAGAGAAGGGGATAACAATTCTTCTCCCAGAAACGAGCCTGGAGGAACCCTTTCTTTGATGATTACTGGAAGGGATTCATAGCTTCTCTCCCAATATTTCTCTGTGATCTAAGGCAAGCTAACCTGAGTCTGTCTTGTTTTTGAAGAAACCGGCTTTTTCTAAAGATGACATTCTTCCGATGGATTTGGGGACCTTCTACCGTGAATTTCAGAATCCCCCTCAGCTGAGCAGCCTCTCCATAGATATCGGGGCACAGTCCATGGCTGAGGACTTGGTATGCAAACCCCTTCCCCTGCCGTACCTCATCCTCTGACCTCCTCTTCTTTTTTGATGGCCATTCCTGCTCCAAGGCCTAGAAGTTTCTTCGTGTTACTCCCCCCACTCCCACACCTCGCATCCTCTATGTAACAGGAAAGAGACACTTTAGATCATTATATTCTGTTGATCACGCTTGAGATTTGCATTCTGCCTGGCAGTCATTATCTTGAACTTGCTTACACTGACTTCCTCCTCTTCTGTGCATGCTCAGCATTACTTGCACACTCCCTGCCATTCAGTGCCTGCTGTCTTCTGCTCGCTGCTGCCACTAAGCTAGGCCGCTCCAGTAGCTCTTGCGTTCAGCTGTTCAGCTTGTCAGGCAGAAGAGATGTGAGGTCCTGAATATTGGTGGTCTTGCCCTTTCCTCAGAGAGCTCATTCCTGACTCAGCTGGCAGCTCTCGCGTTTAGCCAGATGTCCTGATACTGACTGTAATTACCACATCTCTGCTTTGTGTATTTCCTGTGTTCAAAGGGCAGAGGCATACCAGGGTGCCCCATGCCACTGTTGCCAGTTGGACTAGGGAAACCCCTGGCCCTAATTGCCTCCACCCAGCCTGTCACTGGGACCTCACTGGAGGCCTTTAGTCTTGTCTCAAGAAAAGAATTTGGGGCGCCTGGGTGGCTTAGTCGGTTAAGCGTCCGACTTTCGCTTAGGTCATGATCTCGTGGTTCGTGGGTTCGGGCCCCGCGTCGGGCTCTGTGCTGACTGCCAGCTCAGAGCCTGGAGCCTGTTTCAGTCTGTGACTCCCTCTCTCTCTGACCCTCCCCTGCTCAAGCTGTCTCTCTCTCTCTCCTAGAAATAAATAAAACATTAAAAAAAAAATTAAAAAAAAAATTAAAAAAAAAAAAAAAAAAAGAAAAGAATTCAAAGGCGGACCAAACACAGTGGTGAAGAATTCATGGGAGAACACTCTCCAGACGTGAGAGTGGGCGAGCTCCATGGAGAGCTGTGCACTCCAGGGTTTGGGTCTCTAGCTTTTTTTCCCCCCTTTTTTTCTTTTTAGAGTAGGCTCTAGGCCCCAGTGCAGAGCCCAACACGGGGCTAGAACTCACAACCCGGAGATCAAGACCTGAGCTGAGATCAAGAGTCAGACAATTAACTACCTGAGCCACCCAGGCACCCCTGGGTCTCTTATATTTTATTGACAGTTGGTAACCAGGAGTGGAGTATTTATTACTTGGAAAGAGGAGTTTTGGGAGCAGGGTTTCATACCTTTTCTCCCTTGGTCAGGGACTCTGGCCTCCTTTGTTTTTGGCCTGTTTTGACCTGGCTTCTTGTGACTTTAGTTATGGAATGCTGCCAGCCAAGACAGGCCTCTGACCCTCCCTATAGCTGTCTCTCACTCCACCTTTGCTGGTCTCCAGGCATCCTGTTAAAACCTAACTAGCCGCTTACTGTAATGCCACAAGATGTCGGGGTCCCTCTGCCTGAGGTGGGAATGTCACTTTCTCTGTCCACATTAGAGGAATGGCTCTAGGAATAGGATCTCGGAATATCTGCCCTTGATTTGTTTGAAACAGAAAAGCATGCTCAGTATTAACAATATGTCAAAATATTATTTTTCACATTAATCGAGGCTTTCCAGGAGCCAAGTATTCTTTAAGTGCTTTACATGAATCTTTGACAATCCTAAGAGGTAGCTTTCCTTATTATCCCAGCTTATGGATGAGAAAGCCAGCACTGAACAAATAGCTTGCCCATGGTCGCGGTTAGCTGGCAAAACACAGCTTTGATCCCAGAGAGCCTGGCTTTTGATGTTAGGCCTTTTTTTTTTTTTTTTAAGTTTATTTATTGACTTTTGAGAGAGAGGGAGAGAGTGAGTGTGAGTGGGGGAAGGGCAGAGAGTGAGGGAGACACAGGATCTGAAGGAGCTCTGTGCTGACAGCAGAGAGCCCAATGAGGGGTTCAGACTCATGAACCATGAGATCATGACCTGAGCCAAAGTCAGATGCTTAACCAGCTGAGCCACCCAGGCGCCCCTAATGTTAGGCTTTTAACTGCACCTCCACCTCACGCCTGCCAGGAAATCTGTGATGATTCAACTCTTCAGATGCAAATTAATCAGTGGAGACAAAGCACCTGATTAGGGTCAAATTTTTATTAATACTTGATACTGGAGGGTAGTTAAACTTAACTCCTCAGGTTTTCTTCTTCTATTACTGTTTTCTCCCAACTCTAACTCACCCCTTCCTCAACCAATGTAAAGATCCAGATTCGTAGGCCTCACTACAGACCTGCTGAGTCAGAATCTCTTGGGAGTGTGGTTGGGACTACCTTGTTCATGTGCTCCCAAGTGATTCTGATGCCCAGCTCAGGCGTGAAGAAACCTCTTGTAAACAAATTTGTAGCATGCTAAGCCTATGGTTTTATAGGCTGGTGTTAGTCTAATCTGTGCTAAGGATACTTCACGTCTATTGGCTCTGTGTCATCCTGTTGGCATGGTCCTTTTCTAGCTCATTTATGTGTGGCCTGCTTGGATTCTCTAGACTGTTCTGCCAAAGCCCCTGAACCCCCACAAACCCTGCTGGATATGAGCCCACTGTCCAGTGCCTGCCCCACTGCCCTGCGTCTGCTGCGCTCCCGGCCGGCACTGCTGAGCTGAGCTCTGTGCTGCGCTCTCTTCTTCAGCCCAGGCGCCCAGGCTGGCTGCCTCTTCAAGACCCTACCTGAATAAGCAGCTCTTCTCTCCCCTCCCGGTACAGGACTCACTACCAGAGAAGCTGGCTGTGCACGAGAAGAATGTCCGAGAATTTGATGCCTTTGTAGAAACTCTGCAGTAAAAGTTGGTGTCCTCGAGTACCAGCAGCATCCCCTTTTTGTGGTCCCAGGAGACAGAGCTTCCCACTCATCAGCTGCTCCCATCCCTCATCTTGCTCCAGGTGGAGGAGAGGCTGGTTTCCCCCATGGGGACCTGGAAGTCTCTGTTCTTGCACCTCCTGAGACTCCATGGTGGCAGTCCAGCCCGGTGACAGAATTGGAGAGGACCCACCCCCTGGTCTTGAAGATTGGAAGATGCTTATAACAAAAGGGCCCCCAGGGCCATCTGCTTACACCACCCATCAGCAACTGCTTCACCAAGGCTGTGGTCTCATTCCTCCTGCCGCCCCCACACCCTTCCCTGGGTCCACCCTGCAGCTGGCCCCTTGCCCACCAGCTGTTACTGTCAATCACTTGACATTCCAACTGGTGGCCCGGAGCCTGGTTTGGAAGCAGGAAGAGGAAGGAGACAGTACTGGAAGAAAGAAGGAAGGGCTCCTTCAGGCTCTTTTTTTGTCCCCTTTGGTTTGGTGTCTTCCTCTCCTTCTCTCCGCCCCTGTGCCTATACTTTTGGCAATATGACAGGCCTCCTGCCCAAGGTGGCGAGAAACTCCAAAGTCGGCCATTCCCACCCTTGAGGGTTGTGCTAGCCCATCCCTCAGCAGAGGGTCGAGCAGCCCTGGTGGCTGCCTGTGCTCAGCTCCTCAGCTCCACGGAAACAAGAATCCTACATCTCCAGGATTCTCTCACTGGGAGTCACAGCAAAAGTTCTTTTTCTCTCCTTCTTCCCCCTGTTGCTGCTCCTTGGTTATAAAACACAGTAAATATTTATTGCTTTCAGAGAAATCAGATATTTTATAGAGAAAATATGTTTGAGGTTAGATGTTTTCGCTTGGGGAAGGTGGAGGGCCTCTTCCTGGAGTAGGGCCTCCCCCTGTGGAGATTCCTCAGGTTCTGGGTTGCTGCTGTGAGGGTCTTCCTTCCTCTTTACATAAGGTGGGATCCAAGAGTAGGGCTGGCTGAGGGCAACGGGACCTCCCAGAATTGCTGCACTTGAACTGACAACAGGCTTCACCTTTGACTCCTACATATTCCTGGTGAGAGTCCTGAATCTCTCCCAGCTTCTGCAGAATAACTGACTCCATTCTGGCAGCCCAGGAAGCCTTGGGTGCTAAATGTGTACGACTCTGTGTGTACAACTCGCTAGAGTTGTACCATGCACATACCATGCATTGTATGTGCCCCGCTGTGGCCCCAGGGGAAGGCCAGAGGGGCCCCTCCTTCTGGGGGCACTTGTTCCTGTTTCTCAGGGCTGAGTTATGGGCCTTTTCCTCCTTCCTCCTGGGCCTGGCCACCACCTTCTTTAATCCCAGGGTCTGCACACCGCCCTGAGGTTTACTAGCTGGATTGGTTCCTTGTAGAGAAACCAAAGCTAGGCATATGATTGACTTAACCATTTAGGTATTGTTACTTGAGTAAATCAAGTGCCTAGCCTCACCCACCTACCATCTGTCCCTCTCCCAGCCTACCTGGCAGCCCTGGCTAAGGAAAACAAGGCCCACCCCATTCCTCCTGGCCCACCTGGGCTCTTCATGGGCAGCAGCTGTTCTGCAGTGGAGCAGGTGGTCCTTAACTGCTTGTTAGTAAATGCATGTGACACTGGTCCCACCTACAAGACAGCTCTGAGGGCTAGAGTGGGCTCTGATGCTGCCTCAGTCAGGCTGAGCCCTCCTGCCCCTGTTGCATGCATTCTGCTGCCACGAAGAAATGTTCCCAGCGATGGTGTACAAATGGCCGTCCTGTCTGGGCCAGCGTGCACTCATGGCCTGCTGAACCAGTCCGGATTTGCCTCCAAGGCCCCAGTGCTGAAGCCCTGGTAAGCTACTGATTGCCCATGTGCTCGCCCCCATCCTGCCGTAGTATCTCAGCTGCTGTCCTGAGGCTGAGCACTGACAGGCCTGTTAGCCTCTTTGGCTCCTAACTGTTGGCCTTTGCAGGCAGCAGCCTTTCCTTTAGGATCCCATCAGTGAGACGCCAGGGAAGCTGAGCCTGGGAGGAGAAGAGCACCTGTCAAGGCTGGCCCTTGCCCCTCCACCCCATAAAGACAAGTGACAGGGGTGAGCCCTAGACTGACTCCTGCAGCACCGCCGGGACAGGGCTGGGACCCGTCACCCGTCTCCAGGTGGCAGAGTCCCTTCCCTTCCTCTAGCCAATCTTGTTTGGAAATACTGAGCTATACTTTAAAGTGTATTCAAGAAATTTCCAATAAATTTTTTCTGTACTTTACAGCCTCCTGTCCTACAAGTTTTCTAAAAAGATAACCCACCCCGTCCCACTGCTGTGCAGGCCCTGGTCACCAACGGGCTCCCTCCATGGAAGTGGGGAAGAGCAGCGGTTATAAAGTGCAGAGTGGCCTTGGAGTCAGGCAGGCTGTTTTGTCTTGGGGCTTGGCCACCTGGCAGCTGTGGCACCTTGGGGCCAGTCAGGAAACCGCTTGGAGCCTCATTCTCCTTGGCTGTACTGTTCCCATTTTGAGGGCTTGTCTGTGAATAGTCAGTGAGGTAACGGGCATGAAGTTGACATTCACATGAAGTATGGCCATAGCAGAATCTCCGTTGGATGGAGCCCAGTGTCATCAGCTCTTTGTTGCCCCCTGCACAGCACAGCACAGCCCAGCACTCAGCCTGAAGGCTCAGAGTGAAAAACAGCTGCAGGTCTCCTCCATGTTTCCAGTAGAAGCGGACATGGGATGTGGGGCTCCCCAAGCTGCCCGGTATGTTTACTGATCTAGGGTGAGGAGTGTGGCTGAGCAAACCAGACAGGGCAAGGGTTTGAATGAAGTGTCGGGAACTCAAGGGCCCATCGAGTTTGTTGAGCTGCCCCGATCTGACAGCTCGAGCTAGGCACTGGTGTGGTCTCCAAGGAGCCACGACAAGTCGAACCCCGTGGACGTTATTCCTGCCTGGCCCCCTGCGTGCTTCTGTGGCACACATCTGAGCCCTGGTAAAGCTGGCTCCTGCCCCCTAACTTGGGACTGTGCTGAGGGACAAGAGTGAGAGGTGGAGCCAGTATTGAAGAGACAGAGATGGTTCTAGAAGCAAGGGACTAACTGCCTGACAGACCTGGGCAACTGTTGTGTGGGTTGCCTCCCTATCCCCTTTAGGCTGAAGCCAGGGCAGAAAAATGGTTAGAAAATTCTAAATTTAGCCCAAGCCTATAGCTGAAAAGAATGAGGCTGCCCACTGCTGTCCTTACGGGCTGTGGGAGCCCTAGCTTGTTAGTTAACTGCACATGATAATTGGCCATGATACCGGACCATGCAGCCAGCTGGGAGAGTCATCCAGCGCACATCAGAAATGTTGAAAAGGCTATCCCTAATGTCTTCACCTTCAGTTGGGATCCTCCGCCTCCCCCCCTCCCCACGCCCCCCCTCCCCCGGCCTCCACAAAGCAAACTAAAAGTGTTCCGTTGTCCCAGGTCTCATGATGGTGTCCTGCCCCTTTAAAGCATCTCCCTATACTCTGCCCCTAGAGACCAGCTATTGCCAAGGCAGCAGTAAACTGGCTTTTGCATCACTCAGACGCCCTGCCAGGAGCCCAGCTCAAGTGAACAGCTCTCCTGGTCTCTGGCTCTCTCAGTTTCCCTGGGATACTACCCCTCTGTTCTCAACAGTCACCCAGCTTAGAGCTGGACAGAGCCAGTGAGAGGCTGCCAGTGCCTTCCGTTGGACCAACTGGGTGAGGGCCAGTTGTGCAACAGGACTAGCTTCCTGCAGCTCGGTGCCTGTGTTTCTAACCAGCGTCTTAACACCACAGCTTGATCCTGCAGCTCCGGCCTGGCTCCCCTGGCCAGAGCAGGCAACGAGGAGAAAAAAGAACAGGACTGGCCAAAGGCCACCACAACCTGATTGCAATCAACACGCAGGCAGCACACAGGTGGAACTTGACCTTGACCATCATGCCAAGTGAAATCCTGGCCTCCCCTCTCAGTGACAAACCATTATCTTTAACTTGTGGTAAAATACACATAAGTTTTACCATCTTAATCTTTAAAAGGACAGCAAAATGTGCTCAGGAGAGGAAAGGGAAACCGGATATTTCCTAGCCTCTATGGGACTGGGTGGCAGGTGGAAAGAGCCAAGGCTCTCAGGCCGAGGGGAGGGCCAACAGAAGCAAATAGTCACACGAGGCTTCCGATCCCAGCCATTCCACAAAGTCGGGACCATCTCCTTATTCCTCTGTGAGACCATGGTCATTCTGATGGCCACTGGGCACTCACTGTTCCACCCTGTGTGCATCATTTCTGATCCTTAGATGAAGAGACAGTCTCGTGTGGGCTGATTCTGTGGCTGCTCCCATTTGGAGCTGTTGGGAGGGGTGACTGGACTCAAGCCCAGGTCTGACTCTAAAGCCCACACTGCTGTTGCCCTCCATTCTGGAGACAGAAGAGGCCTTGGTCATAGGACACGGCACTTGGTGGCCACTTGGAATGGTGCACACGTACAACATGGAGGGTGACCATTCACCCGTCCAAGCCTGGAAGATGTCAGAAAGCTGGCTTCACACGCACTCACAAAGGAGCAAGAGAAGGAAGGAAGGGGTCAGATGGATGGGGAAGTGACTTCCTGAGGCCCCACCTGCTCATCTTCCACAACCACACCACACTTCCCGCCCCTTTCTGAGCCTCCAGGCCCACTTCCTAATATCCAAGTGGGCAATTTTCCATCTCCTTTTTTATTGAAATACAAAAAGTGCAAAGGTGAAATACATGATTGGTGCCAAGGAAGTCATTAAGTGTGAATGTGAACACTTGATTCACAGTACTCCCCCACCTCCCCCTCTCCCCGCAGTGGGACAGGGGACAGGAGAAAGACCAAATAGATCCACGAGGCTCCCCAGTAAATGGGGCTGTGAGCAACACCTGATATACACAGGAGGGCAGAAAGCAGAAGCCCAGGCTCGGGCTAGAGACGCAGGGACTGTCAGGGCACCAGCAGCCACTCCAGGCCCCGGGAGTCCTGACGTGCTAGCATCATGAGGAGACAGCCTACCAAGGTCAGGGCCAAGGCTGCACACACACCTCCCCTTGCAGATGGGGGTGGGCTGGTCAAGGGCCCCCACAGTACAGGCTCCGGCCAAGGCTGTGGGGGCAGGGCCTCTGTGCAGGTACCACCCTGCTGCCAGGGGACAAGGCTGCAGGAAGTGGGGTCTCCAGGGCTCACCAGGAAGGAGTGTCATTCTAAGGGACACAGTTGAAATGAGAAGTACCAATCATCAGGGTCCAGGTTTTCTGAAAGATGACAGGACCCTGGGCCTTGTGGTCCCTGGGGGATGTTGCTAGAACTCCCCTGGCAGGGACTGATCTAACTGGTGAAGTCTCTGCTCACCCCTCCAGGAGTCCCTACCCACAGATCCTGAGGCACTGAGTCACTTCTGGCCAGAGCAGGGACCAGTGTGACCCCACAACAGACCTGTCTACAGAGCCTTACGCTGAGGAACTGTCCAAGTAGAGAGGGGAGGCAAGGCGTGGGGGGCTGAGACTGCTTGTCCCTGGCCCGACCGGACCACCGGGGGGCTTTGGGATGGGAATGGGGTGTATATTTCAAATGGATGCCGGGACTCAGTCCTGTCATCCAAGCTGCCAGAACAGGGGGCTGGAACACCCTGGGGGCAGTATCACTTGAGAAAGTCTGACCCAGGATGTGTGGACGAGAAGGAGGCAGAAACAGGAAGCAGAACCCGGCCTTGCTAGTCCTCAGCTGTGTAAAAACCCAAGGCTGAACCATGAGAGGAGAGGACAGGGCCAGGTGCTCGCACACAGGCCTTCACCCGGGGAGGGGCCTCAGCAGGCGGGTGCAAGCCAGCGCAGCCTCTTATTCCCCCGGCAGCCAGGAAAGGGAGGACCAGCCCCAGCTACCAGCCCAGCCGGCAGTGATTGAGGCATCCGCAATTGGCAGGAAAAGAGGCAGGAGAAAGTGGGTAAGCAGTTTCTGGGGCCAGTCCTTTTCGTACTAGAAGAGTCAAAGGCCGCCAGCTCTGCAGAGCCTGGCAAGGAGCCAGGGGTCCAAGGAGGCAGTGAGAAGTATAAGGCGAAGAAAAATGTCTCGTGGTTACAGCGGGGCCTCCAGGGCCAGCCAGATGGGCTGGACAGAAGGGGAGGAAGGGCTGCCCGGCCGGCTGGCTCCAGCTTCCAGCTCCTGGGGCCTCACAGCCCCCTTCCTGGGCAGGAGCCCCCGACTCCTCTAAGGCTGAAGCTGGGAAGGGCGGTGGGGCAGGGCTCAGAGCCCTCTCGAGTCAGGGCTGGAGAACAGCTCCCCTTGGTGATCCAGAAGGAACTTGGTGAACATGTTGATGGGATTAATGGCCTTGAGGGTGATGGCAGCGTCCTTGGCCCACAGCAGGTTAGGGCCGAAGACAACAGCCAGATTCGTGTTGGTCATCTTGTTCTGGTCACAGTGGGCAGAAATCTGTGGAGGGAATCAGGGGGCTGCGGCAGGAGGCCACAGACCCTGCCTCTCGTTCCCAAGAGCTGCAAGGGTGGCAGCTCCTCCCCCCGCCCTCCTCCAGGTGAACGGCCGAGGCTGAGGCCGGGGTCTCACCTGCACCAGGAAGGCAGTGAGGAAACGAAGCACCTGGTAGTTCTCCTCAGGCAGCGTCCGGAGCACCTGCAGTGTCGCCCCCACTCTCTGGCTCTCATCAATGTCTACAAGGAATCGGGGCCCAGGTCACAGTGGCCCGGGGCTGGGCCAGCACGAGGCCAGAAGGCAGACCCCAACCAGACTCTCCTTGGAGGACACGCCAAGTCTGCTGCCCTGAGTCCAGCCCTGACTCCTGCCCAGCAGAAAAAGCACAGGACTAGGGAGGGAAGAGAGGGGCACTCACTGAGGAAGCCCACGACGTGGGGGTAAAGGTCGAAGGTGAGCAAGGGCTCAGGAAGCTCCCGGAGGAAGGTCTTGAGGATGACCGCAGGCAGGTGCAAGTCATTATACTGGTCGAAGTCCACAGGCAGGCCTGGGGGAGGGGACGGAGAGGGCACTGGGCCCAACCAGAGGCCAAGCAGACCCCACTGCCCCACCGCCCTCAACCCCTGCACACGCACCCTCCTCCCACAGAGCCGCCTTTCGCACAGGCCTGCCCCTCCTCCTCTGTGATGAGGGGACCGGGTAGTACACCTGACAGTTCTTCTTTGTCTCTGAATCTGAACCCAGGACCTGGAAGCCTGACCAGGCAGCAGGCCTGGGGCAGCCAGGCAGGAATGGAACCCATGCAATCATACCAAATGCCACA